AGACACAGAGTGATTTACCAGGCATAGATCAGAGGCAGGCGGCGTGGTTCAGAGTCCGTATAACAAGCGTGTGTCGTGGGCAGGCGGCGTGGTTCAGAGTCCGTATAACTAGCGTGGGTCGTGGGCAGGCGGCGTGGTTCAGAGTCTGTATAACAAGCGTGTGTCGTGGGCAGGCGGCGTGGTTCAGAGTCCGTATAACTAGCGTGGGTCGTGGGCAAGCGGCGTGGTTCAGAGTCTGTATAACTAGCCTGGGTTGAGGGCAGGCAGAAGGCAACTCAGAGTCAGAAACAGTCCAGGGTAAAGCACAGAAGATCAGGCAGGGAATAACGCTAAGAAATGTTGGCCGTGGCTTCGCAATGAGACTGGTGTTTGAGTGTGGCTTATAAAGGGAGCGTGGGTCGTTAACTGGATTCAGTTCAGGTGTGTGCACAATCAGTCTAGGTGGATGATGTAATGCTTAGAAGTCCGGGGATGGCGGCCTCTGCTGGCCAGCAAGGGGAATGACTGGGACTGAGTCGGTGACAATTAAACTCCTTACACAGCAAAAGAATATTTTTATTTTATTTTATTTATTGTTATTATTATTGTTTTAATTATGGTTTTATTTATTATTATTATTTAACAAACAAAGCAATGACTATAATCAAATTCAAAAATTTAAAATTGAAATTCAGTTCAGGTTTAAACTCCGAGTTGGTTGAACCTCCTCTCTGAAACAGACCCCAGCTCTAAAACCTGACTGAAATTTATCAAAAACATTATTATTAAACATGAAATCATTCAGCTGTACAGACACAATCCTCTCTAAAACCTTTAGATAAAAGGCCAGAATTACAGGATCTGCCCTGGTTTACTGTCTAGTAGTCCCTGCCTTGGCTTTATCCTCCTCTCGGTCCACCTGCCTGTCAGTTTCCCCCTCACCATCTGTCCTGTACTCTGTCATGGTTTCATTAACCTGTCTCTCCCCCGTCACCCTTGTCCACTGTAACACCTCCAGCTGCTGAACTCACTCTTGTCATGTGTTTTCCTCTGAGGATTATCTGGAATCTGCTCCTAGAAGGGAGCTGTGTCATGGTTGTGGTTGTCCTGTCCTTGTACTGTTGTGTTGTCCTTGTGTTCTCTGTGTTCACCCCAGTTTTCCCCATATTACTTGCCCAGTTACTCTTCACCCCCTTGTTAACTCACTAGTCTCTGTGTTTAAGCTCCTCTGTTTCAGTCATTATGTGTTGATCATAGTTTGCTGTATGTGTGTGTGTTTCTCTTGCTTGTGTTTTCTGCTCTTCAGCTCTGGCATTTTCTTTGTGTATGGATTATATTTAACATTAGAACTGAACCTAGATCCAGCTCTTGCATGTGTTTTGCCTGCCTGCACGATAAGAAGATAAAATAAAGAAGAGGGTTGCATGGCTTTTCATTGGTAAGCACTTTCGCCTAACAACAAGAAGGCCGCTGCTTTGAGTCCCAGCTCCTGTTTCCCCCACAGTGTGAAGACATTTGGTATAGGTGAATTGAGTTAACAAAACTGACCATAGTGTATGAGTGTGTGTCTGTGTCATTGTTACCTGATAATTATCAGCATAGATATGAGTCAAAATAGACAGAATGGAGAAAACATCAGTGGGATCATTCCACTCCAGTCCAGAAAGAACTTTAAAGGTGCTGTATCATTTTATAGCTGACTTGTGTGCAATTTAGATGATAACAGCCATATCACACTGCAGCCCAAGACAGGTTACTCCCTGAAGCTAAGCAGGGCTGAGCCTGGCCAGTGCCTGGCTGTGAGACCACTAGGGAAAACTAGGTTGCTGTTAGAAGTGGTGTTAGTGAGGCCAGCAGGGGGCGCACATCCTGTGGTCTGCATGAGTCCTAATGCCCTAGTGAAAGTGAAGGGGACACTACACTGTCAGTGGGTGCCGTCTTTCGGATGAGACATTAAACCGTGGTCCTGACTCTGTGTGGTCTTTAAAAATCCCATGGCACTTCTCATAAAGAGCAGGGGTGTAGCCCCGGTGTCCTGGCCAAAGTCCCTCAATAGGCCCTTACGATCATGGCCTCCCAATCATCCCCATGTCTTTTTATGACAGCTAAACACCATTAGCTATTGACCTACATGGTAGGAAAAACAACTGGTGTGTAAGTCAATGGTTACAGGTTTCAGTTTTCTTCAAATTATCTTCTTTTATGTTCAACAGGAGAAAACAAAGTTTTAGAAAGGTTTATAACCATGAAGAGTGAGTAAGAATTAGTAAATTCACTTTTTGGGTAAACTATCACTTACACAACCACTGCCAAAACCTAAATCTGAATGTTATTTAAAAAAGCACTAAAACATTACATAATGAACAATTATTAATGTATTTAGCAGTTTAGTTGATATCAATATTGTTCATGCTCATTAACATGATGTCATGTCATTTCTTATTTTCATCCGCTTATCCATGGCCGGGTCGCAGGGGCAGCAGTCTTAGGAGAGAACCTCAGACTTCCCTCTCCCCAAACACTTGCACCAGCTCCTCCGGGTGGATCCTGAGGCATTCCCAGGCCAGCTGAGAGACATAGTCCCTCCAGCGTGTCCTGGGTCTTCGCCGAGGCCTCCTCCCGGTGGGACAGATGCCCGAGCCAACTCAGCTGACTTCTGCTCTTCAGTGTTTGAACTCTCAGCAGTGAAAAGTAAACCACACTGAACTGAACTAAACTGAACATCAACACAATACTGAACTGACACTGTTTCAATTTACTATGATCTTCTATGTGAAGCTGCTTTGATGCAATCTACATTGTTAAAGTGCTATAGAAATAAAGATGAATTGAATTGTCGATGTGGAGGTGCAGTGGCTCTACTCTGAGCTCCTCCCATATGGCAGAGCTCCAGACCCTGTCTATAAGGGTGCGCTCTGCAACCCTGCGAAGCAAACTCATTTTGGCTGCTTGTATCCAAAATCTTGTCCTTTCGGTCGTGACCTAAATCTCATGACCATTAACATAATATACTGTATTATTTAAATTCAGGAAATGTCTACTACTTAGATGAAAAAAAGAAGGACGTTGACTTACAGAGCTCTTTTGGAGGTTTTGATGACTGCTGATAGTCTGATGAGACACTCGTCTGATCTCTGATATTTCTGAAGCTCAAACTCCTCCAGCTCCTCCTCTGAGGTCAACAACACAAAGACCAGAGCAGACCACTCGGCAGGTGAAAGGTAAGAAGACAGACGTCCTCTACTGAGGAGAGACTGAATCTGTTTCAGCAGAGTTTGGTCGTTCAGTTCATTCAGACAGTAGAACAGATTGATGAATCTCTCTGGAGACAGATTCCCTTTAAGTTTCTGCTTGATGTAGGCAATTATTTCCTCTTTGCTCTGGTCTCTGTCATCCTGCTGTGTCAACAGGCCTCGTAAGAGTTGTCGATTAGACTGGAGAGACAGACCGAGAAGGAAGCGAAGGTAAAGGTCCAGATGTCCATTCTCACTTTCCAGAGCCTTGTCCACTGCAGTCTTCAGCAAATCAGTCATGGACTTATCTCTGCTTTTTTCTGCTTGTGTCTTGCCGCTGTCTAGAATCAGATGTTGATAAAGGGCTGCAATGAACTCCTGAATGCTCAAGTGAAGAAAGCAGTACATGGTACCAAGAATGATTCCCGTCTCCTCCTTAAAGATCTGGGTACACATGCCAGAGTACACCGATGCCTTATAGACGTCAATGCCACAGTCTGTCAGATCGCTCTCATAGAAGATCACATTGTTTCTTTCCAGCTGCTGGAAGGCCAGTTTCCCCAGTGAAAGGATGAGCTTTGGATCCCAGGAGACATCTGCTGTGTTTTCTCCATCAAACTTTCTTCTGCTCTGCTGGATCTGAAAGCGGAGAAAGTGTGTGTACATCTGTGTCAGAGTCTTGGGGGATTCCTGCAGTGTTTCAGCATGAGCCCTGTGTTTCAGTTTCAGTATGTTCTGGAGAACAGTGGCTGAAATCCAGCAGAAGACTGGGATGTGGCACATAATAAAGAGACTCTTTGACTGTTTAATGTGATCAATGATTTCTCTGGCCTGATTCTGATCTGTGAGTCTCTTTCTGAAGTACTCCTCCTTTTGGGCATCATTGAATCCTCGTATCTCTGTCAGCCGGTCGATACAGTCAGCAGGAATCTTACTGGCAGCTGCTGGTCTGCTGGTGATCCAGATGAGAGCAGAAGGAAGCAGATTTCCCTTGATGAGGTTCGTCAGGAGAACATCCAGAGAGACTGCTGAAGATACATCACGACACGTCTCATTACCAACAAAGTTCAGAGGAAGACGACATTCATCCAATCCATCAAGGATGAACAGGACTTTGAATCGTGTGCTTCTTGTAAGGTTCAGTCCTTTAGTCTCTGGGAAAAACTGAGTTATGAGGTCTTTTAAACTTTGTCTTTCTTTCTCCTTTAAGTTCATCTCTCTGAATGGAAGAGGAAATATGAAGCTGATGTCTTGATTTTCTTTCCCTTCAGCCCAATCCAGAACAAACTTTTGCACAGAGACTGATTTCCCGATGCCAGCAACTCCTTTTGTCAGGACAGTTCTGATCTGCTCGTCTTGTTCAGCTGCTTCAAACAAATGTTTGCATTTAACCTGTATCTCTAGTGACTGATGACGTCTGGAAGCAGCTTCAATCTGTCTGATCTCATGTTCAGTGTTGACCTGTTCACTCGCACCCTGAGTGATGTAGAGATCTGTGTAGATGTTATTCAGAAGTGTGGAGTCTCCTTGCTGAGCAATTCCTTCAAACACACTTTGATATTTCCTCTTCAGGCTACATTTAAGCTGATTAATGTAGAGCAGCTCATCTAAACACAGAAGCAGAGAAACAGAGAGATTTAGTCTTGACTTTTCCAGCTATATTAGTAAGTGTCAGTCTGACAGATACCCATGAGTCTCTTACCCTGGAGAGTATCAGCAGCTTGATCTTGCTTCATCTCTCTCAGGAAGAAGAGTGTGAGATCAAGAGCTGCTTCTGTGATAATGCTTCTGTCCTCATTAAACTCCTTTACAAACTGTTTTCTGTTTTTGTCTTGTAAGATTTTCCTAAAGTTTTCCAGTTGATTGTTCAGAAATCTGATCATTTTACTCTCAAGATTCTATGATTGAAGAAAAGAGAAGATCAATATTTAAATAAAACATTCATTAACATACAGTTGTGCGTCCACAAACTACTCAATAAAGACAAAAAAAGACATTATAATATGAGTCTGTTGAACGCTTGATTCTGATTGGCTGATAAACTTTGTAAGGTGTTGTTATTTTCAGATAAACACACAGCTAAAGCAGATTTGGCAGGATTTGAGCACATGACAGTTCCATATCTCTACACTGAATGATTCCAGTAACTTCACAGTCAAACATCACATCAAAACACACAGAAAGCTTTGGATTTGTAAGAAACTAGTTTCACACACAGGAGAAGTTTGAGGACAAAAACCTGACAAATGTCTGGAACACAACATGGCGGCTTTAGCTGTGGGAACATCAGCATCCCAGCAAACAGATTTCAATTATTACATTTATATTTAAAAGAAGTCTAATAGATGTTTAACAACAGCCCAAAACTAGACTAGTCATCAGATATGCAGCAGTGTGAATCTGTCTGATCTGTGTTTTTGAGGACTAGTCTAGTTCTGGACTATAGTTAGATGTTTAGTAGATTTTTAGGTGTATCAGCTTAAATTTAGCCTTTTTTGGTCTGGCTATCATTGTTTAGACATCTATTAAAAACTGCAGAATAATCCACTCTGGTCTGTTGAATTATTAGAAAATAATACATAATAAATGTGTAACGTGTGTGAACTATTCACGAATAATTTAATGATTTGCAGTCAATTATTCCTCACTTGACAAATACTTTTTAATTCTTAACATCTTTAATTACATGAAAAATAACAGTTATAAATGAAATGTGTTGCAGATGCAGGATCTTTTCCAGTAAACATTTTCTGTGTTATATTTACAATTTTAAATATGAATCAAAATGAGTTTTTCCTACCTGGAAGATCCACTGGAGATTGTCTGAATAAGAAACTAAATCTGCCACTAGGTGTCTGTAAATGAGTCAAAGTCATTGAGTTATTTGATTCATCCACACTACTGATTCATTCCAAAGTGATTCTCTTTACTGGATTGTTGGTTCACAATAATATGCCTGAAACAATCCATGTGTGATCAATAATGTAAAACACAAAATACCTTCTGGCAGATGATGGTGTTTTCTCTCTGAGGTCTGGTGGTGGATGATTCATTGACCGGTCACTCTTCAGAGACACAGAGCTGGACACACATGATCCTGATCTCACACTGAACCCACAAACACACCAGAGGAATAAACTAGTACACCTTGGTACACCTTGTATTAAGACTGACAGATGAGACAATTATTGGGAAAACACACATTTCACCAGGCACAAAACTAGCACAAAGTAACTCTTAGCTCAAGGTCAGGCTGATCAGGTCTGTTAAACAGATTAGACTTACAGTGCGTACAGAAAGTATTCAGACCCACTCTTTGTTCTGTTGTGGTCATTTGCTAAAATAATTTAAGTTCATTGTTTCCTCATTAATGTCCACACAGCAGCCCATACTGACAGAACAACACTGAACTGTAGACGTTTTTGCAGATTTATTAATAAAGAAAAGCTGAAATATCACATGGTTCAGACGCTTTGCTGTGAACTCAGCTGCTGTCCATTTCTTCTGATCCTCCTTGAGATGGTTCTTCACCTTCAGTTGAGTCCAGCTGTGTTTGATTCCACTGATTGGACTTGATTAAAGCCACACACCTGTCTATATAAGAGCTTACAGCTCACAATGCATCTCAGAGCCAACGACAATCATGAGGTCAGAGGAACTGCCTGAACAGCTCAGAGACTGAATTGAGGCAAGACACAGATCTGGCCGAGGTTACAGAAACATTTCTGCTGCACTGAAGGTTCCTCAGAGCACAGTGGCCCCATAATCCTTTAATAGATGTGTGGGACGACCAAACATTTTCCAGAACTGGCTAAACTGAGCTGTCAATAGATCTGTCAAATGCTCTGATCCACTGATTTACAACAAAATAAATGTAAAGGTATTGAAGCTTCATGAAGCAGCGCTCCAAAATCAGCCATCAGCTCTGTTTACTGGAGTACTCTTGTGGATTAGCGGTGTGTTACTCGTTCATGTACACTCAGAGCGTGTTTCGCTGGTGTGTGTTTTAATCTTCTGTGTTTATTGTTAGCTGTCTGGATATTGGATTACTCTTTGTGGATTACTCTTGATTATGATTGATTCGGTTTTGTCCCCTTGCCTGTCTAAAAGATACTCTGAATAAGAAACTAAAACCATCACTAGGTGTCTGTAAATGTCTAAATTCACCAAAAGTCATTAAGTCATTTGAGTAATCCAAACAACTTATTCATTTACTAATGACTCTATTTTCTGGATTGTTGGTTCTCAATAACATGTTCAATACAGTCCAAGTGTGATCAATAATGTAAAACACTAAATACCTTTTGACTGATGATGGTGTTTTCTCACTGAGGTCTGGAGGAACATCACCTTTAGACCAGTCACTCTTCAGAGACACAGAGCTGGACACACATGATCCTGATCTCACACTGAACACACAAACACACCAGAGGAATAAACTGCAGGACAAACTTCAGTCTCCTTTACAAGAGTTTATCAGACAAATATGAGTTTGTTCAGTTTAATTCAGCACAGACTAATAGTTGACTGAAGGTCTGTCTGTTGTCATGTTGAAATAATGGTGTAGAAACAGAGTCAATACCTGTGTTTCTCTGAGAGAGAGTCCTTTACTCGCTCCTCTGCCATACTGCAACTAAAACACCAATGCAGACATTAGCAGAGCTTTCAGCAAACAATCATACACACATACATATATATATAGTCCTTAACATGAATGCAGTTGGTTTAACCCTGATCTGACATCTCAGCTGTTTCACATTTGATTTAAGGTAAATGCATGTTATATAGAGTTTATCAAGAGAAGTTCAGGTTCAGCCAATTGTTGATTTAGTGAGTATTAAAATGTCTCTCTACTAAAGAGGCTCTTTGGTTAATGAGTTACTCTGACGGTCAAAGGTTAAATGCAGTGTTGTTTAAGGATCGTCAGCTTGTTGTTTTCAGCAGCTTTTCTTCCTGTTCAACTGAAGGTCTGCTTTAACTTTACTTTTGATTTGGTGACTCTGAATGTTTAGAGTTATATTTAATGCTGAATTATTGGACACTATTGAGTCAGTCTGATATAGAAGAGCACAAACACTTTAAAGGGATTAAAAATAAAGCTTTTAGACACAGTGTTTAAATGAGCGTGTTTGACTCAGTGTTTAATCTGTGTTTGAGGATTTGATCTTCAGGATCAGACATTTAAATCACACTCACACATATAAACCCTTCATCATCTCCACAAATCAGCGTAATGTAGAAGTGTTAAACTCACATGCAGAAGTACAGACGCTCTTGTGCAGCAGGAACACAATCTGAGCTCTTTCACTCTTTCACTTCACTAAAACACACCTGTGTGATCTACAGGTATATCCTGAAATATTACTGGCTGCACAGAGTGACACTGACATGAATATTCATGAGACTCTCCTGACTGTGGGCGTGTCCTGAAGACGAGTGTGCTGAAGGAAGATTTAGAGAAGGTATTTAAGATTAAATCTGAGAGGTCTCTGAAGAATATTTAGAGTAATGTTGAACCTATAAAATAAGATTAGAGATTTATATATAAATGAGTACACCTCATACAGATCTCTCTGCTATATTATTATTATTTTCTATAGGATGCTGTTCAATAATATTCAATAAGTGTGTTTATACAATAGATTAGTCAGTACCAAAGGCAAAACTGAACTAACTGAACAAAATAACTGAAGATCACAGTGAAGAGAAACAGCACACACAAATGAATAATGTTTAACCAGAGGACAAATCAAGAAAACCATTAAACAGCATTACATTCAGTTCAAATGTTGTAGTTTGTCTTTTATTTATTGTTTGCAGCACATAATGTCGATGTACATGTGTTATCTCTCTATTTCTGAAGGGGTTTTTAGACTCTTATTTTAATCAATATATCCGTTTATCTACACTCGCTATTACAATACAGATGTTAAATACAATTTTTTTGTGGTCATTACTTAAAATTCAGGATAAATGTCAATAAAAATATTAATATTTCTCCTCAGAAACTAAGACAGGGTTGACGTGTCTTGGTTATTAGAAATGATTTATTATTATCAGTAAAATCAAATTTAGCAGCTCTTATTTATTTATTTGTTCTTTTTATTATAAGAGCAATCATGTGTGATGTGTGTGTATGTGATTGTGTGTGTGTGTGTGTGTGTGTGTGTGTGTTTGAAAGAGGGAGAGAGCGTGTGTGTGTACGTTTGTGAGAGCAATAGTGTGTGTGTGTGTGTGTGTGTGTGTGTGTGTGTGTGTGTGTGTGTGTGTGTGTGTGTGTGTGTGTGTGTTTGAAAGAGGGAGAGAGCGTGTGTGTGTACGTTTGTGAGAGCAATAGTGTGTGTGTGTGTGTGTGTGTTTGTTTAAGTGAGGGAGAGTGTGTGGTGTGTACGTTTGTGAGAGCAATAGTGTGTGTGTGTGTGTGTGTGTGTGTGTGTGTGTTTGTTTAAGTGAGGGAGAGCGTGTATGTAAGAGAGAGTGTTTGTGTATTTGTGTGTGTGTCTGTGAGGGAGTATGTGTTTGTGCACGCATGAATGTGTGTGTGTGAGAGAGAGTTTGTGTGTAGGAGCATGTGTGTGTGTGATAGAGAGTGTGTGTGTAAGAGCATGTGTGTGTGTTTGTGTGTTGTGTATCTATGTGTGCGCGTGTTTGAGAGAGAGAGTGTTTGAGAGAGCATATGTGTTTGTGAGAGGGATAGTGCGTGTTTGAGTTTGTGTGTGTGTGTGTGAGTGTGAGAGAGGGAGTATGTGTGTTGGAGAGTGTGAGCATGTGTGTGTATGAGTAAGATTGTGTGAGTGCATGAGTGTGTTTGTAAGAGCAATTATGTGTGTGTGTGTGTGTATGTGATTGTGTGTTGTGTATGTGCGTTTGTGAGAGCAATAGTGTGTGTGTGTGTGTGTGTGTGTGCGTAAGAGAGAAAGCGTATGTGTGTGTGTGCATAAGAGAGAAAGCGTGTATGTGTGTGTGTGTGAGAGAGAGCGTGTGTGTGTGTGTGTTTGTCTAGTCTACATACATTTGCGTGGTCCTGCTGTAATCCTCGTCTCTCCTCCATGATCCAGACTGTAAACACACACAGATTCACATTCAGTCAGTACACAAACATCAGCTTATAACACACACACACACACACACACACACACACACACACGCGCACACACACGCGCACACGTGCACACACACGTGCACACACACACACACACACACAAACACACACACACAAACACACACATATATATATAATGCAGTTGGTTTAAGCCTGATCTGACATCTCAGCTGTTTCACATTTGATTAAAGGTAAATGCATGTTATATAGAGTTTATCAAGAGAAGTTCAGGTTCAGCCAATTGTTGATTTAGTGAGTATTAAAATGTCTCTCTACTAAAGAGGCTCTTTGGTTAATGAGTTACTCTGACGGTCAAAGGTTAAATGCAGTGTTGTTTAAGGATCGTCACCTTGTTGTTTTCAGCTTTTCTTCCTGTTCAACTGAAGGTCTGCTTTAACTTTACTTTTGATTTGGTGACTCTGAATGTTTAGAGTTATATTTAATGCTGAATTATTGGACACTATTGAGTCAGTCTGATATAGAAGAGCACAAACACTTTAAAGGGATTAAAAATAAAGCTTTTAGACACAGTGTTTAAATGAGCGTGTTTGACTCAGTGTTTAATCTGTGTTTGAGGATTTGATCTTCAGGATCAGACATTTAAATCACACTCACACATATAAACCCTTCATCATCTCCACAAATCAGCGTAATGTAGAAGTGTTAAACTCACATGCAGAAGTACAGACGCTCTTGTGCAGCAGGAACACAATCTGAGCTCTTTCACTCTTTCACTTCACTAAAACACACCTGTGTGATCTACAGGTATATCCTCAAATATTACTGGCTCCACAGAGTAACACTGACATGAATATTCATGAGACTCTCCTGACTGTGGGCGTGTCCTGAAGACGACACACAAACCACTGGAGCTGAAGATATCTGTGCAGATTCTCTGAGCACGAGTGTGTTGAAAGTGTATTGAAAAAGTATAGTATATATAGTGTCATATATTACAAACATATATGAGAATAGAGAAAAAGGTATTTGAAATAAATCCAAGAGGTCTCTGAAAAATATTTAAAGCAGTGTTGGACCAATAAAATAAATTTACAGATGGAAATGGAAATGAGTACACCCCTTACAGATCTCTCTGATGAATTATTACTTTCTCTCAGATGCTGTTCAATAATATAAGTGTGTTTATACATTAGATTAGTCAGGACTGAAGCCAAAACAGTTTTAAATTTCGCTGAAATGTTCATTCATTCATTTTCTTTTTTGGCCTAGTCCCTGATTTTTATCAAGGGTCACCACAGCGGAATGAACCGCCTACTAACCGGAGCACCTAGAGGAAACCCACGCCAACACTGGGAGAACATGCAAACTCCACACAGAAACACCAACTGACCCAGCTAATGCTCGAACCAGTTACCTTCTAGCTATGAGGAGACAATGGTAACCACTGAGCCACCGTGTCGCCCTAGCTCTTGCAGTTTGTATCTTGTTTATTGTTTGCAGCTCCTCATTTGAGTTTAACTGTATTATCTGTCTATTAGTGAAGGTGTTTGGTGATCACTCTCCTATTTAATCAATATATCTGTTAATCTGTCTTTATTCACATAGATTAAAACACATAGTTAAGGCAGTGTGTTTATTGATGCTGTGGTTGTATATAGAGTAGTCAGTGATTGAAATGGTTGTAAAAGCTTGTCTAAATTGCTGTAAGATGAGAACAGGACAGCTTTAATGAAAGGTTTGGATTATATAATGATCACTCATTTACAGATGTTTGACACCCTTTATCGTCGTCATTTCTCTAAATGTTCAGAACAATACGATAATAAGTCAGTGTGAGTTTTCTGCTTGTTAAAGTAGAGTAAAACAGAAACACAGCTCATTTTCCTCTAGTCATCCTTTAACCAGCTGATGAGACGTGCACTGTTTTAAATGGCTTTTATTTCCTTTATTAAGAAAAGATTCTGTAGATATCTGAACACAACTTCTGGGAAAACATAATGTTTCATTAAACTATTGCTGTGGGCAGAAAACAAATCTGCAAATAGGATTTTTCTAATATAAATGTAGTTATATATGCTTTATCCTTGATATTTAGATCTGCAGGAGAACAAGATTCATGATTATACATCTTTTCCCTCTTGATGAGATGAAATAGTTTAGTGGAAACACAATAAATAAAGCTGAATATATTATTTAAAGGCACGGATGTCGTGTGCAGAGGTAAACTGGGTTCATTTAGGGTTTATAGTGACACTTATGATCTTTTCCTTATCCAGATATTCTTCATTATTAAAATAATATTTTACTCATTTTAATGCTTGTGAACGACTGAACCACAATCTG